CGAAGAAAGGTCTGGTCCCATACGGTATTTGTCTGAATTCAGAAAAAATGTTTTAATTTTGTCTTTCCTATGTGAACTACAGTGTTGAAATCTCAAGTTTTGGGATGCGTCTGAGAAATGTCAAAATATCAAAACGGTGCCAAAGGAAATGGATATTGACATAACCCAGGCGGCTTAAATTAATTCAATAATTACTTGTTAACTATTAGTTTTATTTTATTTTATTTTAGAAGGTTAGTTTTCTTTAAATAATTTATAACTTTTATAAAATATTTTAAAATAGTTTATTATATAAAAATGTTATTAGATTTAACCTAAAAAATAACTAAAAAATTAAATTGAATTCAAAATAAAATAATCTAATCAATAAAGCAGTTCATAATAAATTGCATCGATTATTAAAACATAGTAATTATTTTAGCATTTTTTATGAATGAGAATTATTAAAAAGAAAAACTGAAGTAATATATGATAAATTTTACAATTTTTTAAACAGTAAAAAAGAATTTATCATCCTTATAAAATTAATTTTATCTTAATAAATAAAAATTCACAAAAAAATATAGTAAAAGGTCATTTTGACCAAATGAAATGAAATTGTTAATAGAAACTTAACATGTTAAACTAATATTGAAATGAAGTGAAAGACAATAAACAAATCTAAAAGTATTTAAAGATAATAAATAAAACAAAAAATATATATATATATTAATAAATTATTTATTAAATTAAGCCTAACCCAAGCGGATATTTTTTTCTCTTCACACAAGAGGAATAAGATGATAAATAGCGTACTACGCAACTGTATGTACATGTAGGTTGACCTTTGGCAGAAGATAGACACAAATTAAAGATGGCAAGAGACGTGATCGCTTTTCATGGAGAGGAAGGAGGTTTCCTAATGGATAGCAATGGTTGTGGTCTTTACTTGATCTGCATGATCATTGCGTCGCTCTCTCTCATATCTATGGTTGTATTTGCTTGCGGTGATTCTGGTAAATTTCAATAGACATTTAACCTAAAATAAAAAAAAATATCTAAATATCTTACATGTACCCCTTGTACTAAAAAAAAAAAAATTTATTTTTACTATTAAAAAAATGTATTATATATATATATTTTTTTTAACAGCTAAATTTGATATTTATTAATACCCGGAGTACAAGGGGTACTCCAATCCCATACATCATACTTAACAGGAATCAGTATACATGATTTGGGCGCCTGTCAAATAGTGTCGACACCCAAAATAAGTGTCAACACCACGTCCGTG